GTGGAGGTATTACTAGAGGCCAAGTGAGTGTGTTTCACAGAAGTAGTCCCGGCCCGAGTCTTGTTCATGAGGTGACCTTACGCACACTAGATGATGGTTTTCAGATACGAGGGTCCCGGCATTTCCGGTCGTCCATTTCTGTTGTTGGCCGAACCTGTCTTGGTCGCTTCTGGAGGTGCCTTCCTGGTGTACTGGTATAACAGGTAGGGTGACGGGAGGCTTGTTTGCAAGGTCAATACTGGCAGCCATACCAGGGGCGATCGTAGTTCAGGCCGCATATACAGTTTCTGTTATTCTCGGAGCTACCCGTCTTTCTACTCCTTTTTTTTGTTTTACAAATAAAAATAACAATAAAAAATAGTCAGGAATAGTTATATTTATGCTATGCCTCCTTCAGGGACATTGATCCCTGCGGCACGCCCGCGGACCTTCCTAAGAACTCAGGGTCTCTTTCTGCCTTTCATTGAACTCATGGGTCATATCAACAGATATATCTCTGGGAAGTGGCTGGCGCGGTAGGCCCTACAGACTAGGAACGAGTTATACAAGGTTCAGAACGTGAGGTGGGCGAAGGTGGGATTTTTGAAGGACACTTACCACGGGTAGGCGGTGGTGTAAGTAACGGGTGACCCTCTCGGGTTTAACACTTCACTTAATAATAATAATAATAACAATAATAATAATAATAATAATAATAATAAACAACTCACGAAATCGTAATAACACCATTGCAAAAAAGAAAAAAAAACAGGGAACTGGTGGAATTTGAATCCATGGCGAGTGAGTTTTACGACTTATTCACCATGGGTTCAAATCCCACCCGTTCCGTGGTTTAATAATAAAACTAATAACGATGATAATATAGATGAGGGATGTGAAGAATACACTCACCTGTGAGGGACAATGATAGTGGAAGTAGTTGTGATATTTGCAGAGCAGTTTGACCGTGAAGGTCACTCAGTACTTGTACCAATAAAAAAAATTACATACACAGCACAAACAATAGAGCCATAGGCAAAATTAACAAGTAATAAAAGCTTCATAAACGCACCTCAGGTAAACTGCAGAGCTTTGGCACTTAGTTTAGGTGGGACACGATGCCACTTACAAGAGGGTGCCACTTGTGAGATAGTAACACAACACAGGGTGTCACTAGCAGCAATAGTTTGACATAAGCAGCAAGGGAGAGAGGCGCAGCACACTGGTACATACCTGCCTGAGACGTCGTAGTTGATGCTCCATCATGCACAATCCAGGAAGGAACACCAGGGTACACTGCGTATAATCATTTCTTGCCTGGTCCAACAGCTACCTGAACCAGGAGAAATATGAATATATAGAGAAGGAAGAGGACGAGGATTATGAGGAGGAATGTAAAGACGAAGGACAAGAGATGGAAGAGGATTATGAAGAGGCAGTACATCAAACGGTACATATACAGACACACACATTATATATATATATATATATATATATATATATATTATATATATATATATATATATATATATATATATATATATATATATATATATATATATATATATATATATATATATATATATGCAATAAGATCACAGTAAACAAGTGATTTTAAAATATGCAAAACAGCCACTGTGAAAGAGTAGTAAATTCCAAGCGCTTTCGTGATTACTCACATTGTCAAGGAACTATAAACACACACACACACACACACACACACACACACACACACATATATATATATATATATATATATATATATATATATATATATATATATATATTTATATATATATATATATATAATATAACATATATATATATATATAATATATATATATATATATATATATATATATATATATATATATATATATATATATATATATATATATATATATATATATATATATAGACATATGTCGTGCCGAATAGGCAGAACTTGCGATCTTGGCTTAAATAGCAACGCTCATCTTGCCATATAGGACAAGTGAAAATTTGTGTATGCAATAATTTCGCCAAAATCATTCTGAACCTAACGAAAAAAAATATATTTCACTGTGTTTGTTTAGTATTAAATTATTGTAAACAAATCTAAAATATATTTAGTTGGGTTAGACTAAAATAAATTGCTCTTGTTAAAATAAGGTTAGGTAAGTTTTCTAAGATTTTTTTGGTGCAAAATTAAAATTTTTTACCTTAACATTAATAAAAAAAATATATCTTTAAACGTACAAGAGAAAATTTCAGAAAGGACTTAATTTTAAATGAGTTCTTGCTAATTGACCAGTTTTACATATTCGGCACGACATATATATATATATATATGTATGTATATGTGTGTATAATGTGTGTGTATATGTGTTCGAGTAAATACAAAAGTACACATAAGCATGCATATGCTCAAAAATATATACAAACAACAATGAATGTGCACACACGCACAGAAACAAACACTCTTATACATATTTATATATTTTGCAATAAAACAATTTTATGGCTCTCCGCAATTCATCTGACGTGCATTGATGTAGAGGAGGATAGCATAATGGAATCGTTAATCTTTTTTAGCTCCTCTTATCTCCAGGAGAGACAATAGGAGCTAAAAACAATTGACGAAACTGAAAGAAAATTTAAATTATATCTTTTCAAATGCCAAAAACAAGAAAAAAAACCACATCAAGTATCGGGATTTTGGTCAGATAAGATGGTACCTACACAGATGAAAACAAAGAAATGAGTGAACTATTGAAATTTCTGTACGACTCTGTGTTGACCCCTGGAACACGGGGGGCGTCGGGCAGTTTTCCGCGCGCTCTCAAAAAAAAAATCGAAAAATTATGGAAATTGAGTTATATATACTGAAAAATAGCTTAACTCTTTGGCAATACAATGGTACCAGAATGAATGTTCTACTACGTTTCTACAAGAAATTATAGTCATTTATATCAGGTAAGGTGACGGCTACTTTGAGCTCAATTTCAAGGTACTTTTCATTGTAAAACCGGTCAAAATCATCTCAATTTCTGTAATATGTCTTCCATTCTATAAAATGAGACCAAGAAAACTAGAATACAACAATAAACACCATACGAAAATACAGTGCAAAGTCGCCTCACGGTAGACTCCAGGTATAGTAGACGGGGATACCTTTCCGGGATTGTGCAACTACCGAACAACATCTAGTTAATATAACCCTTTCACTCACTAGTGACGATGGCGTTATGGGTCAGGTGACCCCAGATCATCATTACTGCGGTTTTTTGTGTATTTCTTTTATTATTATTTTTTTATTATCACACTGGCCGATTCCCACCAAGGCAGGGTGGCCCGAAAAAGAAAAACTTTCACCATCATTCACTCCATCACTGTCTTGCCAGAAGGGTGCTTTACACTACAGATTTATTTTTGCTGTGTTTTGATTGTGCTATTTGTCGGACTACAGCTAAATATACACAACTGCAAGTCGACAACTGTACCGACTAATACAGTACAGGTGGGACAATGTCGACACAGTGTAGAATGAAGGCACAAATGCAACACTTTAGACGTTTCGCCCTCTGGAGGCTCTGTTTTTGGCTAACCATTATTCCAAGCAACATTACGTGGTTGCAATACTTGGGCGATATTCTGTTTGTAACATGGAACAGCTTGGGACATACAAGGAACTGTCTGTGGTATGTATGGAACTGTCTGTGCTATACAAGGAACTGTCTGTGGTATGTATGGAACTGTCTGTGCCATACAAAGAACTGTCTGTAGCATTCAACATTCACGGGACTGTCTGAGGCATGCATGGTAGTCTTTTAATCAGTATGCAGGAAACTGAGGTACACACCGAAATGCGTATTACAATATGTGGTATCTTGGTCATGTGTGTCAGGACGGTGGTGGTGGTGGTGGTGGTAGTGGTGGTAGTGGTGATGGTGGTGGTGGTGGTGGTGGTGGTGGTGGTGATGGTGATCGTGGTGGAAGTGGTGGTGGTGATGTGGTGGTGGTGGTGGTGGTGGTGGTGATGGTGTGGTGGTGGTGAGTGGTGGTGGTGGTGGTGATGGTGGTGGTGGTGGTGGTGGTGGTGGGTGGTGTGTGGTGATGGTGGTGGTGGTGGTGGTGGTGGTGGTGGTGGTGAGTGGTGGTGGTGGTGATGTGGTGGTGGTGGTGGTGATCGTGGTGTGATCGTGGTGTGGTGGTGGTGATGGTGATGTGGTGTAGTGGTGTGGTGTGGTGGTGGTGGTGGTGTGGTGGTGATCGTGGTGGTGGTGGTGATCGTGGTGGTGGTGGTGGTGATCGTGGTGGTGATGTGGTGTGGTGGTGGTGGTGGTGATGTGGTGGTAGTGGTGGTGGTGTGTGGTGGTGTGTGGTGTGATCGTGGTGGTGGTGGTGGTGGTGATCGTGGTGTGTGTGGTGGTGGTGATCGTGTGTGTGGTGATCGTGGTGGTAGTGTGGTGGTGGTGGTGGTGATGTGTGGTGGTAGTGGTGGTGGTGATCGTGGTGGTGGGTGGGTGGTTGTGGATCGTGGTGGAGTGGTATGGCAGTGGTGGTGGTGGTAGTGGTGTGGCAGTGTGGTGGTATGGTGGTCGGTGGTAGTGGTGTGGGTGGTGGTGGTAGTGGTGGGTATGGTGGCGGTGGTGTGGGAGTGGCATGTGGTGGTAGTGGTGGCGGGGTAGTGGTAGTGCAGTGGTGGTGTAGTGGCAGTGGTGGTGGTGTGGTGGTGGTGTGTAGTGGTAGTGGCAGTGTGGTAGATGCGTGGGTGGTGTGTGTGTAGTGGCAGGTGTGTGGTGGGTGGTAGTGGTAGCGGCAGTGGTGGTGGTAGTGGTGGCGGTGGTAGTGGTAGTGGCAGTGGTGGTGGTAGTGGTGGCGTCGGTAGTGGTAGTGGCAGTGGTAGTGGTGGCGTTGGTAGTGGTAGTGGCAGTGGTGGTGGTGGCGGTGGTGGTGGCGTTGGTAGTGGTAGTGGCAGTGGTGGTGGTGGCGGTGGTGGTGGCGTTGGTAGTGGTAGTGGTAGTGGCAGTGGCGGTGGTGGTGGTTGTGTCGAGTGAGAGTGACTATAAACTTTAGTAAAACTCTAAGTAACAGAAGTGAAACTCTTACTCACGTTCATAATAGGAGTTATGTACCACCTGGTGATTTCCCGGCACCGCTGGCATTGTTTCACCATCCTACGCTTGACGCAAGTTCAGCGTATATAAGTGCCTCTTAAGAAAACAATACCAGTGGGAATAGGAAATATAACTTGAGCGCTTTCATGTGTTTATATCCAATATCCTCAGAGGAGTAGGAAGATGAGGCAAGAGAAGCACATTTGTGTGAGTTGTTGTGAAGTGTTGTGAGGTGTTGTGAGGTGTTGTCACCTCGGTGTTTTACATTTAAACTGTGTTTCTCTTGCCACTTCTTTCTATTCCTCTGAAGATGTGTATAAGCACATGAAAGCGCTCATGTTTTATTTCCTGCTTTCACTGTGGTATTTTTTTCATATTTACAACCACGCGTCGTATTGTAATTTCTTCCACAGATGCTTTTTATATTGACCTGACCGAATTAGCTTATTTGGCAACGATCGTTTTGCTAACGATGGCGAACGGAAATGCAAAATTGTGTTAATATCATCAATATTTTCTTTCTCAGAATGTGGATTAAATGTGAAGGGTTGTAGCCGCAGTCTTGTGACTTATTCTTTAACACTGGAATAACTCAAGTTGTTATTCGTGTGTTACATCCTTGTAACATTAAGGAATACAGGTGGCCACAGTCCTCTTGGAATAGTTTAGACAGAAAAGCTCTTATTTCTCTCTCTCTCTCTCTCTCTCTCTCTCTCTCTCTCTCTCTCTCTCTCTCTCTCTCTCTCTCTCTCTCTCTCTCTCTCTCTCTCTCTCTCTCTCTCTCTCTCTCTCTCTCTGTGTACTCGCTTATATGTGGCTGCTGGGGTCGATTCGCAGCCCCTGTGTATGTGTGTGTGTGTGTGTGTTTATGTGTGTTTATATGTGTGTGTTTCTAGGTGTGTACGTGGATTATGTTTCTGGGAGTCGAAACTGTTTTGATCAGTATCACTAATTTCTGTCCTCCAAAGTACTGTCGTATCTACTTCTGAAGCTGTGTCTTGAATTTGCCTTTATCACAGCGTCATCCAAATCATTCGACTTTTCAGTAACTCCGAAACTAAAAAAAAATATTATTTTACATCCCAATGGCTCATCAATTTCTTCAATTTTATGTCCCCATAATTCCAACCCTCTAAATTCAAATAATTTGTCTATATTTGTCCTATTAATTACTTTTAAGACATTATATGTATCATAATCATGTTTCCCTCTTGTAATTCTCTCCGCCTAAATCGTTAAATATGAATTGAATCAGTGTCTCCTCGTTGTGTATTCCTTTCAGTTCCTTTCAGTTCAGTGTATGACCTCATATGTGCCTAGTTTACAAACATCATCTCTCACTCCACAATAGGATTCGAATCTGCAGACTTGGCATCAGAGTACAGAGTACTGTGTACTTTGATGCCGCGCCCTTCAAGGAAGGTTCCTTGTTGCTGGTGAGGGGCTCTTGATCTAGAGAATTGAATCTGCTCCAGTTCCCTGAATTGGGCCTGAATGTTTTCCATCCCCCCCATGCGCTGTATAATCCTATGGGTTTAGCGCTCCCCCATGATTATAATAATAATCTGATGCCGAGTTTGCAGGTTCGGATCCTGCTGTGGGCTGAGAGATTGTGTTTGTAAATAATTTCGCCCGTTTGTGAACTGTTAACTTATCTCCTCTATACAACTCTTAAAGCTGTTGTAAGGTTTACTAATCCTGCAAATGCTGCTTACATTATTCAGTTTATGTGTTATTCTGGTGATATGCTTGGTGCTATAACTACCCTCTAGCCTCTTTCACAGCATTCTGTAGCTTCTCTCTGCCGATGATGTATCATGTATCCGGTCTGTCCTCTCCCTATTCATTTCACATGACGCTCTATTTGGTATTTGTGTGTGTACTCACCTAATTGTACTCACCTAATTGTGGTTGCAGGGGTCGATACTCAGCTCCTGGCCCCGCCTCTTCACTGATCGCTACTAGGTACTCTCCCTCTCTGCTTCCTGAGCTTCGTCATACCTCTTCTTAAAACTATGTATGGTTCCTGCCTCCACTACTTCACTTGCTAGGCTATTCCACTTGCTGACGACTCTATGACTGAAGAAATACTTCCTAACGTCCCTGTGACTCGTCTGAGTCTTCAGCTTCCAGTTGTGACCCCTTGTTTCTGTGTCCCCTCTCTGGAACATCCTATCTCTGTCCACCTTGTCTATTCCCCGCAGTATATTGTATGTCGTTATCATGTCTCCCCTGACCCTTCTGTCCTCCAGTGTCGTCAGTCAGATTTCCCTCAACCTTTCCTCGTACGACATTCCCCTGAGCTCTGGGACTAGCCTTGTTGCAAACCTTTGTACTTTCTCTAACTTCTTGACGTGCTTGACCAGGTGTGGGTTCCAGACTGGTGCTGCATACTCCAGTATGGGCCTAACATACACAGTGTACAGTGTCTTGAACGATTCCTTATTAAGGTATCGGAACGCTATTCTCAGGTTTGCCAGGCGCCCGTATGTGTGTGTGTGTGTGTGTGTGTGTGTGTGTGTGTGTGTGTGTGTGTGTGTGTGTGTGTGTGTGTATGTGTGTGTGTGTGTGTGTGTATGTTTAATGGAAATTGCTTAAATCATTAGTAATAATAATTAATAATAATTATCATTGCAGAGAAGGTTCTTGGTGAGAGGATCAGCTGAAGCCACAGCTGGCCACAGTCACTCGCAGCCAGCTGCAGATAGACACAGTCAACCACGGTCAGTCGTCGTCAGCCACAAGATGGCACTCTGCTACAACATTAACAGCCAGGAACCAGCTGCACCTCGCCTGAGCAAGAATGAGAAAGGTACGGCAAGTCTTAGAGATAATCCAACCTGATGCAGTAAACCCTCTTAAAACGCACGGTAGGCCAGTCCAGTTGTGGTAACTACCACCCATGTGATGAGTTGTGGGATAACTACCACCCATGTGATGAGTTGTGGGATAACTACCACCCATGTGATGAGTTGTGGGGTAACTAACACCCATGTGATGAGTTGTGGGGTAACTAACACCCATGTGATGAGTTGTGGGGTAACTAACACCCATGTGATGAGTTGTGGGGTAACTAACACCCATGTGATGAGTTGTGGGGTAACTACCACCCATGTGATGAGTTGTAGGGTAACTACCACCCATATGATGAGTTGTGGGATAACTACCGCCCATGTGATGAGTTGTGGGATAGCTACCACCCATGTGATGAGTTGTGGGATAGCTACCACCCATGTGATGAGTTGTGGGATAACTACCACCCCATGTGATGAGCTGTGGAATAACTACCACCCATTTGATGAGTTGTGGGGTAACTAACGCCCATGTGATGAGTTGTGGGGTAACTACCACCCATGTGATGAGTTGTAGGGTAACTACCACCCATATGATGAGTTGCGGGATAACTGCCACCCATGAAATGAGTTGTGGGATAACTATCACCCATGTAATGAGCTGTGGGATAACTACCACCCATGTGATGAGTTGTGGGATAACTACCACCCATGTAATGAGTTGTGGGATAACTACCACCCATGTAATGAGTTGTGGGATAAACACCACCTATGTGATGAGTTGTGGGATTAATACCACCTATGTGATGAGTTGTGGGATAACTACCACCTATGTAATGAGTTTTGGGATAACTACCACCCATGTAATGAGTTGTGAGATAACTACCACCTATGTGATGAGTTGTGGGATTAATACCACCCATGTGATGAGTTGTGGGGTAACTACCACCCATGTGATGAGTTGTGGGATAACTACCACCCATGTGATGAGTTGTGGGGTAACTACCACCCATGTGATGAGTTGTCGGTAGTTAACATCTAAAGTAATCAATGACTTAAATTGGTGTAATAATAGACTAATTAGTAATTAAAATAAGATAATTAGTAATAACAAATTAGCAATTTTGAAAAAAATAATCATAATTTTAATGAACTAAGCAACAATTCTGAAAAAAAATTAGTAATTTTAATAAACTAAATCAGTAACTTAAAGTAATCGAAAATTTAGATAAATAATCACCAAAAGGGAAGGATGGAGGAAAAGACAGGGAGAGAAGGAGAGGGGGAGAGTGAAGTATGGGGAAGGGGGTGCAGGACAGGTGTCAACAAAGAGGGGAGGGAGGGAGGGGGTGCAGGAGGGTGTCATAAGGAGGGGGGGAGGGAGGGAGGGGGTGCAGGATGGGTGTAATTAAAGAGGGGAGGGAGGAGGAGTGCAGGAGGGGTGTCATTAAGGAGGGGAGGGAGGGAGGGGTGCAGGAGGGTGTCAACGAGGAGGGGAGGGAAGGGGTGCAGGAGGGGTGTCATTAAGGAGGGGAGGGAGGGGGCGTGGCTTACAGGACTCATAAATTCTAGGAAACGTTCAAAGGTTTTACTCATTTTTTTTCATATTTCATTTGGCCTGTAGAGTGATGGTGGTGTGGTGGTAGTTATGGTGGGTTGTGATGGTGTTGTGGTGGTGGTTTGGTGGTGTCAGATCGTGGTTGTGGTGGTGGTTGTGTTGGTGTTGGTGGTGGTGTGGTGGTGGTGGTTGGTGGTGGTGGTGGTGGTGTGTTGGTGTGGTGGTGGTGGTGGTGGTGGTGGTGGTGGTGGTGGTGGTGGTGGTGGTTGTGTTAGTGTTAGTGTTGGTGGTGGTGGTGGTGGTGGTGGTGGTGGTGTGGTGGTGGTGGTGGTTGTGTTAGTGTTAGTGTTGGTGGTGGTGGTGGTGGTGGTGGTGGTGGTGGTGGTGGTGGTGGTGGTTGTGTTGGTGTTGGTGGTGTTGGTGGTGGTGGTGGTGGTGGTGGTGGTGGTGGTGGTGGTGGTGGTGGTGGTGGTGGTGGTGGTGTGGTTGGTGTTGGTGGTGGTGGGTGTTGGTGGTGGTGGTGGTGGTGGTGGTGGTGGTGGTGGTGGTGGTGGTGGTGGTGGTGTTGGTGGTGGTGGTGGTGTTGGTGGGTGGTGGTGGTGGTGGTGGTGGTGGTGGTGGTGGTGGTGGTGGTGGTGGTGGTGCTGGTGGTGCTGGTGGTGGTGGTGTTGGTGGTGGTGGTGGTAGTGGTGGTGGTGGTGGTGGTTGTGGCATCATAACGAAGATACAAACTAAAGTCATAGAGTGAGCTATCATTAGGACAACGTTTTACTAAATAACTTTTTCTAATCATATGGAATTATCCACTGGGAAAGTGGAGAAGAATCCGTCCTCCGTAAGCCATGCGGAAAGTGGAGAAGAATTCTTCCTCCGTAAGCCATGCGTGTCGTAAGAGGCGACTAAAATGCATAAATTACTAATTACGATAAAATCTCACATGGAGCTTAAGTCATAGTGTCATGAACGAACAAACAGGACAGTAAATAAATAACAAAAAGGCACAATACCGTGACTGGAACGATACACAAATAACCCGCACATAAAAGACAGAAGCTTACGACGACGTTTCGGTCCGACTTGGACCATTGACAAAGTCGTAAGCTTCTGTCTTTTATGTGCGGGTTATTTGTGAAACAGGACAGTGGTAGTGTTCTGTGTTTTACTAGACCAGGTTCCTAGGGACCTCATGTGCTCCAGTGCAGTGTTTTATCACATCTTATAACATAATTTTTTTTTGTTTTTGACTGGGTGGGCCGGTTAGCTAATAAAAGCCTCGGTTGAACTAGCAAAAAAGTCTACACAATAAGTCATCGACTGACACCGTCAAGGAAAGAGAAATAATCCCATTGCAGATAAAAGCAAAATATCACATATCAGACTGCGAGGGAGAAAACGCTTGTTATTTTTTTATATATACTTCCTGTACTTCCCTGTTTCTGTATGTGATTTACTCACTGGACGAAGAGTTGCAAACTTATGAGTAAGTGCTAATTCATATGACTGGAAATATTTTATGTTATTATAATAGTAGTGAATCATTTAAAGAATGTTTAAAACCATTCATCACATCTGTCAGACACTGCAACATCATGGAATCTTGGTACAAAGACTTCAACGCTTGCCCAAACCTTTGGACGATGACCTACTTACATTAGTGGCAGGTCCCACTAAGATCCCGCCTCCTCCTGCTTCAACTCATCTCACCGCAGTATATAAGCCACCTCTCTGGCCCTATGCTGCACTTACTACAAGAGTGATGGACTGAACACATCGAATCCAGGTTGAGGGACTGATTACCTCATACTTCTACTCTCCTTACCCATTTCTACTTTGTATTGGACTGATGAAGCCACTGTGTGGCGAAACGTTTCTTCAGTAAAGATTCCCATGTGTTGCATAAGTGTCTCAATTCTTCAACTTGTCGGTTTTCAAAACCATTCATCACTGATTATTAAAGATCAGACACAAAAGACAATTAATAATTGAGATTAATATATTGTTACATTTACCTAGATATATCTTGTTAGGTAAGACACATATGCAACAGTTAGGTATCTTTATTTTGAAACGTTTCGCCTACACAGTAGGCTTCTTCAGTCAAGTACAGAAAAGTTGATAGAAGCAGAAGATACTTGAAGACGATGTAATCAGTCCATCACCCTTAAAGTTTTGAGGTGGTCAGTCCCTCAGTCTGGAGAAGAGCATTGTTCCATGGTATGAAACAATATGGAGATGAAGTGACAGGATGGAGCTTTATATAGCGCCAAGAGGTGAGACGTAGGTCACTAGGAGAGGTAAGAACTCAGATGTTGGGAGGTCAGGTCCCTCTCAAATCCAGCCGTTCTCACTAGTAGAGGTTGTCGAAGTTGATTGTAGGTCTGTACCAAGATACCCTTGTGTTGCAGTGTCAGACAGATTGAACATCGACAGATTGAACATCGTCTTCAAGTATCTTCTGCTTCTATCAACTTTTCTGTACTCGACTGAAGAAGCCTACTGTGTAGGCGAAACGTTTCAAAATAAAGATACCTAACTGTTGCATATGTGTCTTACCTAACATCCTGTCGGTATTTTATACCATTTTAATAGATATATCTTGTGGATATATTTACCTATATATCTTCTATAATGAGTAATGAAAGTTATAACTGACGCTAAACATCATGAGGGAGAAAGAAGCATTGCTATATAGAAAATTGATATTTAACACTTCAGTGATCTTCACTGATAATGTAAGGAAAGGTAACGTAGGTCCGTTACTTGGCAAACCAGGTAGCATCGCCACGCTAATGATTTAAGTAAACGCAATTCAGAATTCAGTAACAGAATTCTTGGCTTCATATCTAGAAGTATAAATAATAGAAGTCCTCAGGTTGTTCTTCAACTCTATATATCCTTGGTTAGGCCTCATTTAGATTATGCTGCACAGTTTTGGTCACCGTATTACAGAATGGATATAAATGCTCTGGAAAATGTACAAAGGAGGATGACAAAGTTGATCCCATGTATCAGAAATCTTCCCTATGAGGATAGACTGAGGTCCCTGAATCTGCACTCTCTCGAAAGGCGTAGAATTAGGGGGCATATGATCGAGGTCTATAAATGGAAAACAGGAATAAATAAAGGGGATGTAAATAGCGTGCTGAAAATTTCCAGCCAAGACAGGACTCGCAGCAATGGTTTCAAGTTGGAAAAATTCAGATTCGGGAAGGATATAGGAAAGCACTGGTTTGGTAATAGAGTTGTGGATGAGTGGAACAAACTCCCGAGTACAGTTAGTGAGGCTAAAACATTGTGTAGTTTTAAAAATAGGTTAGTTAAATACATGAGTGGGTGTAGGTGGGTGTGAGTTGGACCTGACTAGCTTGTGCTGCTGGGTCTGGTGCCGTGCTCCATCCTTGAGTGAAGGTGACCAGACTGGATGGGTCATTGGGCTAATCCGGGGGGTCTGGGTCATTGGGCTTATCCGGGGGGGAGACATGGGCCTGCTCCGCATGAGTCAGTAGTCCTGTTGCAGTGTTCCTTCTTTCTTATGTTCTTATGTTTATACTTATTTCTTATTGTAGTGCTTACCTGGAGGTTACCTGGAGGTTATTCCGGGGATCAACGCCCCCGCGGCCCGGTCCATGACCAGGCCTCCCGATGGATCAGGGCCTGGTCAACTAGGCTGTTACTGCTGGCCGCATGCAGTCCAACGTACGAGCCACAGCCCGGCTGATCCGGCACTGACTTTAGGTATCTGTCCAGCTCTCTCTTGAAGGCAGCCAGGGGTTTATTGGCAATTCCCCTAATGCTTGATGGGAGGCTGTTGAACAGTTTTGGGCCCCGGACACTTATGGTGTTTTCTCTTAGTCTACCAATGGCGCCCCTACTTTTTATTGGGGGCATTTTGCATCGCCTGCCCAGTCTTTTACTTTCGTAGGGAGTGATTTCTGTGTGCAGATTTGGGACCATTCCTTCCAAGATTTTCCAAGTGTAGATTATGATATATCTCTCCCTCCTGAGTTCCAACGAGTATAAGTCAAGTGCTTCCAAGCGTTCCCAGTAGTTAAGGTGCTTGACAGAACTTATACGTGCAGTAAAGGATCTCTGTACACTCTCTAGATCTGCGATTTCACCTGCTTTGAATGGAGATGTTAATGTACAGCAGTATTCCAGCCTAGTGAGAACAAGTGATTTGAAAAGGAGTACAGATACGGGAATGCTCCGTCTAGAATACAAATGTTGGAATACCACTTTAATAATCCAGATTTAAACCCACCTGAGGCTTCATTTAAATAACTGCAAAACAATAATATATTTCTTGATTTACAGAGGAAATCTCCGAGCTGAGATGGAACGGATGGCGGGCCGGAGTCATTACCTTCCTCAGTGCGGTATATGGCCAGATGACCTTGGCCAGACAGCTACCTCCAGACCCTCGGCAAGACTCCTGGCTTCTCATGAGGTCTCCCATACCTCCTCTCCTTTTCTCTCTCTTCTACATCGCTGCTGTCACCTGGTGGGGACCCCTTTATATGAAATCCAGAAAGCCTTTCTCTGGACTCAGGAACGTAATGATGGCATACAACGCCTTCCAGGTCATTTATTCTGCATGGCTCTTTTACGAGGTGAGACTAATTCAAATTTATACTTGTGATGAATGGTTTGAAAAACCGACAAGTTGAAGATTGAGACACTTATGCAGCATATGGGAATCTTTATTCAGGAAACGTTTCGCCACACAGTGGCTTCATCAGTCCAATACAAAGAGGAAGGCGTAAGGAAAGGAGGAGTATGAGGTAATCAGTCCCTCAGCCTGGAGTCGATGTGTTCAGTCCATCAATCAGTCCATATGCTGCATAAGTGTCTCAATCTTCAAATTTATACTTGTTCTGAATCAAGGAGAGATTAACCGTATTATTATTATTATTATTATTATTGTTGTTGTTATTATTATTAACTAAAAAATGGAATATATATACGCTGAGATGTATAGGGATTAAAATAAACTCTCAGTGTATTTACACTGGGAGTTCATTTTAATCTCTATTATAGGGATTCAAACATTCTAGGCTGGTAGCAAACAAATGGTATGCAGTCTAACTGTTCCTTGTGTAATCCGAACGCTTTGATCCCATTAACCAATCATCCTCACTGCCTTTGTAACTTCCAAAGCTACGATAATTACTGTATCTACATACTTCCAAGCAGCAAACAGGAAACACACTGTAAATATAAGTCACACACTTCCTATCGTTTCTGATGTGAATCAACTAAGATCAATATTGTATGTACACTTGAAGGGGTATATATATATATATATATATATATATATATATATATATATATATATATATATATATATATATATATATATATATATATATATATATATATATGTGTTGTGCCGAATATGTAAAACTAGTCAATTAGCAAGAACTCATTTAAAATTAAGTACTTTCTGAAATTTTCTCTTATACGTTTAGAGATATATTTTTTTCATTAATGTTAATGTAATAAAATTTAATTTTGCACCAAAGTGTTCAGTGGTCAGTCGTCACGTGAGGTCACAGACCCTGAGCTGCTTTGGGGATTAGCGTGGACAGTTACAAAGCATGGCTTGCTTCTGCAGTGTTTTAAAAATTGAGGATGGAGAGTTGAAGGAGGAAGTCTTGCTTCTCCAAGAGGAAATTAGGAGGCTGAAGGTCCACCTCAATGGGTCTGGGAGAGAGTGTGAGGTGGCTGGAGTTGTGGGGAATGAGGCTTCTAGCAGTGAGGTGCAGTCTGTCTCTCGCTGTGAGGAGGCTGTAGGTGGGGAGGCAGCAACGGCTACCAGCAGTGAGGTGCAGTCCAGCACCTGCTACAAGTGGCGAGTGGTAACCAGTAATGGGAGGAGAACCAGAATAAGGAAAGTTAAGAGTGAAGATCTGAAGGTAGGAAATCGCTTCTCTGTTCTTCAGGATGAATGTACTTCAGTGGCCAGTGAAGGTAAGGGTACTACTGCCCCTGCAACCAGAGGTAAGCGCATTCTTGTGGTTGGTGACTCTCAGGTAAGATATATTGACTGTGCTTTTTGTAATAGGAATAAGAAGATGAGAGATAGAGTGTGCTTCCCTGGAGCTGGTGTTGGGGACATAGTTAACAGGCTGGATAATATCATGTCAGGTAATGGGAACAAGCCCATTATTCGTCTCAGTGCTGGTGGAAATGATATTGGGAAGGGTAGGGGAGAAGAGCTGCTAGGTAAGTACAGGTCAGCTATAGATTTCATTAAGTCTAAGGGAGGGGTCCCAATCATATGTAGCATCTTGCCTAGAAGGGGAGTAGGAAATGAATGGTTGTCTAGGGCAATTAGTGTAAATTGCTGGCTAGACAGATACTGCAAGGAACTTGCAATCCCATTCATTGACAACTGGAACAACTTTTATGGCAAGCATGATATGTATGCAAGGGATGGGGTACATCTCTCTGGGGCTGGGGTGGTAGCACTTGCAAACTCAATTGAGAAGGCCATTGATGAAATGCCTATGATTTTAAACTGATAGAAGATAGAGGTATGGGTGTGTGTGGGAAACAAACAGGTTGCAACACTAGGGTTGGAAACAGTAAATGTATAAAAGGCATTCAGCATGAAGTTATAAATAAAGACAATAGATCAGGTCAGCAAACAAATGGGGACAGCAGAGGACAGTAAGGGACTAGCTCCCTTAAGGTTTACTATACTAATAGCAGGAGTGTAAGAAATAAGATAGATGAGCTAAGATTAATTGCAAGTGCAGGAAACATGGATATTATTGCTATAACAGAGACCTGGCTCAATCTGAAAGATAGAGAGATGCCCTCTGAATGTCACATACAAGGCTATAAATTATTCCACACTGACAGGGTCAACAGGAAGGGTGGTGGAGTAGCGATGTATGTCAGAGACAATTTAAATTGTTGTGTTAGACAAGATATAAAAGTAGAAGCGTCAGCCACTGAATCTGTTTGGTTACAGCTTCTCGAGGGCCGAGAAAAACTAATTTTGGGTGTGATTTACAGGGCCCCAAATCTTGATAGGGAGTGCAGTAAACTTCTATGGGACGAAATTCGTAAGGCATCTACATACGAAAATGTTGTGCTAATGGGAGATTTCAACTATAGACAGATTGACTGGAGCAATTTGACAGGAAATTTAGAGTCAGGTGACTTTCTTGATACGATCCAGGATTGTTTTTTAAAACAGTTTGTGACAGAGCCAACTAGGGGAAATAACATCCTTGACTTGGTTCTTGTCAGTAGGGAAACACTAATTAATAATCTTGAGGTTAATGATGAGCTTGGGGAAAGTGATCACAAATCACTCAGTTTTAATATATCATGGAATTCCCCTAATAATGGCAATTAAGTCTCCGTCCCTGACTTTCGCTTGGCTGATTTCATAGGACTGAAAAATTACTTAGGTGGGCTGAACTGGAATGACCTGACTAAGGGTCAGGTAGGTGGTGATGGTTGCCGATATGATGCTTTCCAGGGCATAGTTCTAGCTGCTCAGTCAAATTATGTTCCAAATAGGGAAATCAGATCAAACAAAAATGATCCTAAATGGATGAACAATAGATTAAAATATCTGATTGGTCAAAAGAGAGGCATATATAGGCAAATCAAAAGAGGAGAGGGGCAGTTAAGAAATCGATATATTCAGTTAAAGAGAGAAATAAAAAAGGGAATTAGAAAAGCAAAAAGAGATTATGAGGCTAAAGTTGCAAGAGAATCGAAGACTAACCCAAAAGGATTCTTTCAGGTATACAGAAGTAAGATCAGGGACAAGATAGGCCCACTCAAAAGTTCCTCGGGTCAGCTCACTGACAGTGATAAGGAAATGTGTAGAATTTTTAACACATACTTCCTCTCAGTTTTTACACAGGAGGATACCAGCGATATTCCGGAAATGATAAATTATGTAGAACAGGACGATAATAAACTGTGCACTATTAGGGTCACAAGTGACATGGTCCTTAGGCAAATAGATAAATTAAAACCTAACAAATCCCCAGGCCCTGATGAGCTGTATGCAAGGGTTCTAAAGGAATGTAAAGAGGAGCTTAGCAAACCTTTGGCTAATCTTTTCAACAAATCACTACAAACTGGCATGGTGCCAAATAAGTGGAAAATGGCAAATGTGATACCTATTTTTAAAGCAGGTGACAGGTCCTTAGCTTCGAACTATAGACCAATAAGCCTAACCTCCATAGTGGGAAAATTTATGGAATCAATAATTGCCGAGGCAGTTCGCAGCCACCTTGAAAAGCATAAATTAATCAACGAATCTCAGCATGGTTTTACAAAGGGGCGTTCCTGCCTTACGAATTTATTAACTTTTTTCACTAAGGTATTTGAGGAGGTAGATCATGGTAATGAATATGATATTGTGTATATGGACTCCAGTAAGGCTTTTGACAGGGTCCCACATCAGAGACTATTGAGGAAAATTAAGGCACATGGAATAGGAGGAGAAATTTTTTCCTGGATAGAGGCATGGTTGACAAATAGGCAGCAGAGAGTTTGCATAAATGGGGAGAAATCGGAGTGGGGAAGCGTCACGAGCGGTGTTCCACAGGGGTCAGTGTTGGGCCCCCTGCTGTTCACAATCTACATAAACGACATAGATGAGGGCATAAAGAGCGACATCGGCAAGTTTGCCGATGACACCAAAATAGGCCGTCGAATTCATTCTGACGAGGACATTCGAGCACTCCAGGAAGATTTGAATAGACTGATGCAGTGGTCGGAGAAGTGGCAGATGCAGTTTAATATAGACAAATGCAAAGTTCTAAATGTTGGACAGGACAATAACCATGCCACATATAAACTAAATAATGTAGATCTTAATATTACGGATTGCGAAAAAGATTTAGGAGTTCTGGTTAGCAGTAATCTGAAACCAAGACAACAGTGCATAAGTGTTCGCAATAAAGCTAATAGAATCCTTGGCTTCATATCAAGAAGCGTAAATAATAGGAGTCCTCAGGTTGTTCTTCAACTCTATACATCCTTGGTTAGGCCTCATTTAGATTATGCTGCACAGTTTTAGTCACCGTATTACAGAATGGATATAAATGCTCTGGAAAATGTACAAAGGAGGATGACAAAGTTGATCCCATGTATCAGAAATCTTCCCTATGAGGATAGACTGAGGGCCCTGAATCTGCACTCTCTAGAAAGACGTAGAATTAGGGGGGATATGATTGAGGTGTATAAATGGAAGACAGGAATAAATAAAGGGGATGTAAATAGTGTGCTGAAAATATCTAGCCTAAACAGGACTCGCAGCAATGGTTTCAAGTTGGAAAAATTCAGATTCAGGAAGGATATAGGAAAGTACTGGTTTGGTAATAGAGTTGTGGATGAGTGGAACAAACTCCCAAGTACAATTATAGAGGCCAGAACGTTGTGTAGCTTTAAAAATAGGTTGGATAAATACATGAGTGGATGTGGGTGGGTGTGAGTTAGACCTGATAGCTTGTGCTACCAGGTCGGTTGCCGTGTTCCTCCCTTAAGTCAATGTGACCTGACCTGACTAGGTTGGGTGCATTGGCTTAAGCCGGTAGGAGACTTGGACCTGCCTCGCATGGGCCAGTAGGCCTTCTGCAGTGTTCCTTCGTTCTTATGTTCTTATGTTCTTATAACAAGAGCAATTTATTTTAGCACAAGCCAACTAAATATGCTTTAAATACGTTTACAGTAATTTAATACTACACAAACACAATCAAATATATATTTTTTCGTTAGGTTCAGAATGATTTTGGCGAAATTATTGCATACACAAATTTTCACTTGTCCTATATGGCATGATGAGCGTTGCTGTTTACGCCAAGTTCGCAAGTTCTGCCTATTCGGTACGACATATATATATAGTATACACACACACACACACACACACACACACATAATATATATATATATATATATATATATATATATATATATATATTATATATATATATATATATTATATAATTATATATATATATATGTCGTGCCGAATATGCAAAACTGGTCAATTAGCAAGAACTCATTTAAAATTAAGTCCTTTCTGAAATTTTCTCTTATACGTTTAAAGATATATTTTTTCATTAATGTTAATGTAAAAAAATTTTAATTTTGCACCAGAAGAATCTTAGAAAACTTACCTAACCTTATTTTAACAAAAACAATTTATTTTAGCCTAACCCAACTAAATATATTTTAGATTTGTTTACAGTAATTTAATACTAAAAAAAACACAGTGAAATATATTTTTTTAGTTAGGTTCAGAATGATTTTGGCGAAATTATTGCATACACAAATTTTCACTTGTCCTATATGGCAAGATGAACGTTGCTATTTAAGCCAAGATCGCAAGTTCTGCCTATTCGGCACGATATATATATATATATATATATATATATATATATATATATATATATATATATTATATATATATATATATATATATATATATATATATATATATATATATATATATATATACATATATATATATACATATATATAGTTCCTTGATAATGTGAGTAGTCACGAAAGAGCTTGGAATTTCTCTATTCTTTCAGAGTGGTTGTTTTGCATATATATACATATACATATATATATATATATATATATATATATATATATATATATATATATAATATATATATATATATATATATATATATATATATATATATATATATATATATATATATATATATATATATATATATATAATATATATATATATATATATATATATATATATATATATATATATATATATATATATATATATATATATATATATATATACATGCTTAGTTTATTTTAATACCTATGTCTGTATTCACGTAACCTCGACTGTTGGTAAACACTACCGCCTGCATGAAACAGTCATATCTAATGTGAGAGAGAAACATACTTGTTATCAAGACATTTATTGAGGAAACGTATCGCCTACCAGGGCTTTATCAGTCTAGTTCTTACCGAAGAAGCTCTTAGTTGGCGAAACGTATTCTCGGTAAATGCCTTGATAATCGCATACGTGTCTGACAGATTTCTTTGACTTAAGGTGTATCTAAAGAAAATGGGAAAGCCTGTTTGAAGAAGAAGGCTGAACACGCATCGAATTGACAAATTGATCTCCTTGTAAGTCAGACACGTTCTCCACTCTGGGAATTTCCAGGTGTCAGACATCATACACTATGAATGCACGAAGCTCCTCTTCAACTATGACATGAATCAGAATACTTGTCATTAATAATTCAGGGAACATGCAACTTGAGAATCCTGAAGCAAATATTATATAATATTTATGAGATTTAACCTTATAATTTCTTGGAGCATTCGCTAAGATGGTTTCACTTTTATGGATATCTAATTATTTTTTTTATTAATGCATCGGTCGTTTCCCACCGAAGCAAGGTGACCCAAAAAAGAAGAAACGCTTTCATTATCACTCACTCCATCACTGTCTTGCCAGAGGCGTGCCAACACTACAGTTCAAAAACTGCAACATATCTCCACCCCTTTTCCAGAGTGCAGGCACCGTACTTCCCAACTCCGGGACTCATGTCCGGTTAACTGGTTTCCATGAATCCCTTCATAAATGTTACTCTGCTCACGGTCCAACAGCACGTCAAGTCATAAATAAACATTTGCCTCCACTTGCTCCTATCTAAGACGATCATGCTTGCGGGAAGTCTAAGTCCCTAGCACACAAAGCCTGCTTTAACCCCCCCGCTTCCCTCACTCCAGTCTTTCCTGAGACGACCCCTACCCCGCTATCCTTCCACTACAGATTTATCCACCCTTGAAGTCTTTTCATTTTGTTCCATTTTATCTAAATATCTAAAAAACCTCAACAACCCCTCCTCAGCCCTCTAGATAACACTTTTGGAAGCCCAGATCTCCGTCTAATCTCCAAGCTACAGATTCTCTGCATAATATTCACACCACACATTGGCCTCAGACACGACATCTGGACTACCTCCAGCCTTCTCCTTGTTGCAACATTCACAACCCATACATTCCATGGATAAGATTCTTTGTGTCCACAGACTCTTCAGTGCACCACTCACCTTTTTCCCCCTAGTCAGTTCTATGATTCACCTCGTCTTTCATAGACTCATCTGCTAACAAGTTCACTTCCAGATATCTGAACATAGTCGCTTCCTCCAAAGTCCCTTCCTCCAATCTGATATATAATCTTCCTTTATCTAAATTTCTGTTATCCTCACCACCTGTGTATGTCGTCACCGTCTAAGCATTCCAGTTTTATTAGGTTATGTTTCGCACTGTGTACAGTTTATTAAGTCACGGAGGTAAATGTTGTCCATATATAAGCTTGTTCTGGAACTAGTGTCTCTCTCTCTCTCTCTCTCTCTCAGTATTATCTGCAGTACATTGTTTGGACCCGTCGTGGCTGCAACAGCTCACAGTTAACTCACGCTTAAAGAGGAAACTTTAAATAACTTACCGGTTCGTCCTGGACCATTATCAGTGTTACGATGCAATAACACAAGATTAAACTATCTCTGATAAAAACCATTGTGGCCAAAACTTACAGTTACACCTTAGTACTGACATTACTTCTAAGAAGAGAATAAACGTACTTAAAAAAAAGGGTGGAAATTTCTCCCAGAAGTTAGTTAAATATTTTCTTTTCCTCTTGCCTTTTATATATGTGTATATTATTTTTTTGAACTGTAGTAGAAATGTACATTGGGAATATGTATAACATACATTACATTACAAAACCTCTATTTATAACATATATAAACTTAAGTCGTAATTTTATTGGAACAATCTGGAACTCCTGCTGTCGAAACTACTATTCAAGTCTCTTTCTCTGTTTACACCTTGTATTTCTTTTTCAGGCTGGAATGGGTGGCTGGTTTGGTAGCTACTCGTTCATCTGCCAGACTTGTGATTACTCCAACAACCCCCAAGCTATCAGGGTGAGTGGCCTGTGAAATCATGATAACCCAATGTAAACATCTCACCGAACGGAGGCTTTCAACCCATAGCAAGGGAGGCCTAAAAGTAGGCCATGGGGACGAATATCCCGTTTGGTGAGCTATCATCATCAGGTCAACACAGACTGAATCATGCACTCGTAGTTTAATACACACTCGGAAGCAGGAAAGAGACACGAAGTTGCATATTGCGGCTTCTGAAGGAGACCATCCTCAGAGATCAAAATGTATATAGCTTTCCTAATATGCTGGTAATTCAGAGATTCTTCAGGCAGGGAAGAACCTTATGTGTCGACGATGCACCCACTGTGGAGTTTTATTATACGATATTTTCCCACAGTGTGACTTGTACGACGTTTCACACACTGTGGAACTATCATACAATGTTTCATTAACGATGTAACTTTATTGCGGGACGTTTCACCCAAAGTGACGACTTTATTTTACATTTCACCTGTAGTGGGTCTTCATTATGCGAAATTGGGGCTTTATTTGGTGTTTTACACATAAAGGGGAAGCCCCATTGTGAGTGAAAATTGATAAATTTCCACGAGGGGAAACATTTTAAACAACGTTCCCGTGTTGAAAACACCGAGAACAATCGAAACATAGCCACTATTTTTTTCTGTTTTCCTTATTTTTACCTAACTTTTACCTAACCCCCTTTTGGGTTTAAAACCCTTAAATTTATTCATTATTTTTTTTTTTACTCTCTCCTCATATGTTTATATTTAAAAAAAAATTTTTTAAGAAATTCTGGTTGCTATCACTTACAAGTAAAATTTTTCTTGTGATAAAATTTAAAAATGTGTGTATAACACAACCCCACACACACAACCACACATATTTTATATATTAAATATATATATAAATATATAAAAATTTTAAAAATTATATATAAATATATAAAAAATTAATAATTTTAAAAATTTAATTTAATTTAAAAACATCTGCGTCCTCGGGTTTTTTAAAATTTTAAAAAAATTTTTTACACCCCCAGAATATTCAGTGTAACAGAATAATGGGTCTTGACAAATACAATACAGTTTTTTTGAAAGGGATAAACTCATGTTCGTGAAAAATGGGCATGGTTCAAAACCGGGGTTTATTTTGTTCAAAAAACACTGGGTTATGTTGTTCTTTATAAACTGGGTTATGTTTTTTCAGAAACACTGGGTTTATGTTTTCATGAAAACACGGGGTTATGTTGTTCAGTAACAGGGTTATTTGTTCATGAAAACACGGGGGTATGTTGTTCATAAACACGGGTTATTGTTCATGTAACACTGGGTTACGTTGTTCATGATAACACTGGGTTATTTTGTTCATATAACACGGGGTTTAGGTTTTTTATGATAACAGGGGTTTTGTTTTTCATGATAACAGGGGTTTATGTTGTTTATGAAACACGGGGTTATTTTTCATGATAACACGGGTTATGTTGTTCATGTTAAAACACTGGGTTATGTTTTCATGATAAACACGGGTTATTTTTGTTATGTAACACGGGTTATTTTGTTCTGATAACCGGGGTTATGTTGTTCAGATAACCGGGTTATGTTGTTCTGAAAAACGGGGGGTTATGTTGTTTATGATAAATGGGTTATGTTGTTCATGAAACACTGGGTTACGTTGTTCATGTAACACGGGTTATGTTGTTCATGTAACACGGGTTAGTTTTTTCATGAAACACGGGGTTTATTTTTTCATGATAACACTGGGTTATGTTGTTCATGATAACACGGGTTTTAGTTTTTCCCAGATAACACTGGTTATTTGTTTATGAAAAACGGGTTATGTTGTTCATGAAAAACACGGGGTTATGTTTTTCATGATAACACTGGGTTCGTTGTTCATATAACACTGGGTTATGTTGTTCATGAAAAACATGGGTTATTTTTGTTCATGAAAACGGGTTATGTTGTTCATGAAAATGGGTTAGTTGTTCAGATAACCTGGGTTTGTTGTTCATGAAAAAACTGGGTTTGTTTCATGAAACACTGGTTAGTTGTTCATGTAACACTGGGTCATGTTGTTTATGATAACACGGGTTTTTATTTGTTCAAGATAAACGGTTTGTTGTTCATGATAACACGGGTTATTTGTTCAGATAACACTGGGTTACGTTGTTCAGTAACACTGGGTCATGTGTTTAGATAACACTGGGTTTTTTTCATAAACCGGGGTATGTTTTTCATAAAACACTTGGTTATGTTTCAAGATAACACAGGTCATGTTTTTCTGATAACAATGGTCATGTTTTAAAGATAAACACTGGGTCATGTCATGATACAATGGGTATGTTTTTCAGAAAACAATTTTTCATTTTTTCTGATAACACTGCGTCATTTTCTGAAACAAGGGGTCATGTTGTTCATGAAAACAATGGGTCATGTTAAAGGGGAATAATAGGTCATTTGGTTTTAGAATAATGGTTGTTATGAGTCTTAAAATCCCCCGCAGATGATGCACTGTGCTTTTGGGTCCACTTCTCGAAATACGTCGACTTTTCGACAGGGAAAGTGAATACACCCATTTTTTTTTTAATATTCTTAGAAATGAAACATAAAAAAACATTAAAAATAATCTTATGGGAAACTGGGTTTATTATCCCTCCCAAATACAATATATATAAATATTAAAAAATATAAATTTTTAAATAAATAAAATTATATTATATATATATATAATATAATATATATAATATATTCAGTGAGGTTTTATTTTGTTTTTTACGCACTGAAGTTTGTTTCTTGGTGTTTTTATTTACGAAGACATTTGCAGAGCAACTTTCATTTGAACAAATTCAATCGAATAAGCTTTACAAGTCAAGCTTAATGAAACTCTACTCAGAGTGGAACGTTGTCTAAATAAAAACTTTTAAACAAGTGTCTTTTTTCAGGGACTTTTTTTATATCCAGTAAAAAAAGATAGTGAGTAAAACTTTACTTTTTTCCAGATTTTTTCGGTTGCACAAAAAGAACCCCCATTATCACTGTACACAAGCCCTCATGGGCCCAGCCCAGTACCCGGGGATGGAGTCCGCTATCACCCGGGTAAGTATAGTACCGTATTTTTCGGCATATAAGGCGCAGTTTTTTCCTTCACAAGTCTTGGAAAATCAGCCTGCGCCTTACGTGCTCAAGGTCAGGGTTAAGGCTTGTAAACACCGTCTTGAATGTCTTATTTGTTAGTGCGCCTTATATGCCAGGAAGTGCGATACTACTTCTATTGGTATTACTAGTACTTCTACTATTACTATCGCATTTGCTTTGTCTGTTTCGTAAGGTGAAGTCTAGAATCTTTCCTTAATTCATGGTATAACTGAGACCTCATCAACACAATTGTCATCAAAGATTTGTTAAGTTATAGCAAGAAATAAGGAAAGATCCTAGATTTCACCTTACGAAACAGACAAAGCAAATGTGATAGTAATTATGGATAAGGTAGATTATAGTGGGAAAACTGAACATGCTATTAGAAGACTGGGGAACTTACTTGCCCCTTAAAACCAACGTTAACGTGGACAACCGTAAAGAAGGTGCTGTGCATGCGGGGCTCTCCTGTGAGGTGCTGTATATGCGGAACCTTCCTCTATTTAAACTTGTCTAAGAATTTGCTCAACCTCAGTTAAGTATTTCCCAATGGGGTGGGATTATTAAATGTATTTTATTAGCAGGTTAGCTCTAATTCCTTGGATCAAGAGTCCTTTACCAGCGTCAAGCCACTGTCATCGAAAGATCATTATTTACGTTCTCGTTGAAATCACCAAAAGAACACGGATCGTAATTTAATAATTTCATTGTTTCATGTCTGTTTTTTCCCCTTGAACCTCGGTGTTTTGATGCTGCTGTTATATGACTTTTTATGGGTTTAGCTCTTCCCCATGGATATAATAATAATAATAATAATAATAATAATAATAATAATAATAATAATAATAAAAATAATAAAATAATAATAATAATAATAATAATAATAATAATAAAAAAAAAAAAAAAAAAAAAAAAATAATAATAATAATGATAATGATAATAATAATAATAATAAAATAATAATACTAATGATAATAATGATAATAATAATAATTAGATAAGTAATTTAGTAAGTAATAAGTATGTAAATACCTAAATAAGTTAATAAGTAAGTTCGTAGGTAAGAAATTAGCAAGTCTTTATTTAGGCTATGGGCGCATAACGTAAATAAAAATCAGTGCTCCTGAGGGCACACGGGCAATAATGACAAATAACATAAACATTGTGTATATTTAGCCTAGGATAACTATAAAATCGAACACTGTGACCATATATGCTGTGTGTCCCAGTTAATTTACTCTCATTCTTCGTCTCCGCCAGGCGGCCACAATACATTCTTCGGTTTCCTCAACTGTTTCGTGCACACGGTGATGTACCTTTACTATCTACTGGCCGCCATGGGTCCTAGTCTGCGTCCCTTCCTCTGGTGGAAGAAGTATCTCACTACCCTTCAGATGGTGCAGTTTACCCTCGTCTTCCTGCACTCACTGCAGGTATGACTCAAAGAAAATGAACATTTTTACTGTATCAGGGTCTGTCCAAGAGTTTCGCCTGCACAACAGGCTTCATTAGTCGAGTATAACACTGGAAACAACAGAAGTAATTTTGATGTGATCAGTCACCCTACGTAGGAGGTGGTCACTCCCTCAAGTCTGATGTCAGTATTAGTAACTGGTCTTTCTGTATTGTAGCTGGCTTTCGTGGACTGTGACGTGCCTCCCGTACTGATGAACTGGGTAGGCTTCGTTTCTGTCATGTTCTTTATACTCTTCAGCGATTTCTACATCAAGGCTTACCAGAAGCGTGGCAAGCACAAGGTAAGGGCCCTTATTTTCTCTTTTGTTGTACCTTTTCCTACTTTTTTTTCTTCTGAACCCACTGGATATTTAACCATCAGGTTGACGAATAAGACACATGTGCGGTATTTGGGTATCTTTATTTCAGAAACGATCCGGTAACAAAGATATCCAAATGTCTTTCTCATCAGTTGTGTCCATTTTGTGTCATTATTAATTCGACAGCCACAAAATATTGTTTTCACTTCATATTGAACCCATTAAGTGTTTAACCTACCAGAAACTGAACCCAACTTTGTAAACAAAATTTGCACTCCACGTAAATTTAATGTATTATAAATTAATCTAATTTCTGCTATTCTGGACTTACATTCAAAATATATTTCGCTTAATCATTTATTGATTACAACTTTCTCAACCCTTCGAATATTAATGGGGAGGCTAAAAATTTCTCACATAAATACATAGTTCTAGTGTTGTATTTATGTTGCTGTAATCTTAGTGAAAGACACTTTTAATTTTTTCCTAAAATATAATTTATTATATTTTGTACAAGTAATCTTTTAGACACAGCCATAAGCCTTTTGGAGATAAGTCTTAGTTAATTAGTTTTTTAATGATTTCAATATTTTTAAATTCAATTTTGTTTTTGAAGTTCTTAAAGACAATGAAATGAATACGAAAATCTAATGTTTATGCTTGCAGGTGAGCTCTGTAATGAATGAAATCACTGGTGATGTGAGCTGGGATAAGAAGAATTGCCTTGACGGAACCAACACCAGCGCTGAACCCAGCACTAAGGCAAAGAGAGCTAACAACCCGGTGCGAAGAGACGTTTTTAACGAGTTTCTTCACGGTGGTTCCAGCGGCATTTCCCGCAATGGATCGATAGACGTTTCCAGTGGGAAGTCTAAGGATTTCCCTTCGGGTATTGACGAGGAGCTGGTGTTGAGAAGTCGTGTGTAGCTCCGAGTTGTGAACTCTTTGCACTCCAAGGTTGTGTTTTCTTTTGGCGTTTGCAAGTTAGAGAATAAGACACACTTGTATACTAAATCATATCATCGACTAGTGTTACTCTGACACCCCAGTACTTGGCCCTGTACACGAGTACAAAAAGTACATTGATGTACTTGGGAAAGACAGACAACAGAAGAAATTACGCTAAATGACGTGTTCATTTACCTGGCCAACGGGAAACTTTAGCTAACCTTTTCCACGTCTGCATTTTGCCAGTAAATAAGTGTACAAACTGTGTAGTTTAGTGCACATGTGGAAAGAAGATAGAGGACTACTAATCCGCATCTACTTTATCTGCTAAGGAATGATTAAACTGTCTTCCTCTCCCTTCCAGAGTTAAAACAAGAGTCATTAGACTTTTATTCAGGTGATCTACAAAAAATATAAAATTTAAGGGTTTTATTTCAAAAGCATAAAAAGTAATGCAAATTTTGGTATTAAACGCTCAATATTTCAACCAAAAATAAAGAAAAAAAATAAAGACAAAACAATAGGTTTCAGTTAGTGAATAAACTAAAACATTAGAATATATTGAATAACGATGTTGATAGTCGATCAGGGAGCATCTCGATGGTGCTGATGGGCTCTTGATCCAAGAATCAAGTGTCTCTTGTTTATCTTCCATTTCCCGGGATATGAATGACCCCTCACGGATTTAGTGCTTCCCCATTAATATTCTAATAATAATAATAATCTAGAGCAAATAATGCTTCTAGGTTTGTAAATATATAACTTTTTTCAGCTAAAGCGAACATAAAAAGTTGATATACGAAATTTGAAAAAATGAACTAAATGTTTAAAAAGACACAATTATTTGTTTTTGTGTTTCGTCAACATTTAATTTGTTCTCGAAAATGTTTTTTTTTTTAGCTCGTTTTAACATTCTTATTTCTTTGATAATTGTTGTAAGGCCATGACGACCTTCATGTATGCTCTCTTGATGTGTACATGTACGTAATGTATGCGTTCTCTTGATGTGCACATGTACGTGGTGTATACTCTGTCTTGATGTGTACATGTACGTAATGTATGCGTTCTCTTGATGTGCACATGTACGTGGTGTATAGTCTGTCTTGATGTGTACATGTACGTGGTGTATGCTCCCTCTTCATGTGTACATGTACGTGGTGTATGCTCTCTCTTGATGTGTACATGTACGTGGTGTATGCTCCCTCTTCATGTGTACATGTACGTGGTATATGCTCTCTCTTGATGTGCACATGTACGTGGTGTATGCTCCCTCTTCATGTGTACATGTACGTGGTGTATGCTCCCTCTTCATGTGTACATGTACGTGGTGTATGCTCCCTCTTCATGTGTACATGTACGTGGTATATGCTCTCTCTTGATGTGTACATGTACGTGGTGTATGCTCCCTCTTCATGTGTACATGTACGTGGTATATGCTCTCTCTTGATGTGCACATGTACGTGGTATATGCTCTCTCTTGATGTGCACATGTACGTGGTGTATGCTCCCTCTTCATGTGTACATGTACGTGGTGTATGCTCCCTCTTCATGTGTACATGTACGTGGTGTATGCTCCCTCTTCATGTGTACATGTACGTGGTATATGCTCTCTCTTGATGTGCACATGTACGTGGTGTATACTCTGTCTTGATGTGTACATGTACGTGGTGTATGCTCTCTCTTGATGTGTACATGTACGTGGTGTATGCTCCCTCTTCATGTGTACATGTACGTGGTGTATGCTCTCTCTTGATGTGTACATGTACGTGGTGTATGCTCCCTCTTCATGTGTACATGTACGTGGTATATGCTCTCTCTTGATGTGTACATGTACGTGGTGTATGCTCCCTCTTGATATGTACATGTACGTAATGCACGTGCTCACTTAATGTGAACGCGTACGTGATGTATTTACTCATTTAATGTGTATGTGTAAGTCATATTGAATTATGAGTATTTGCAGGAGAGCTATATACACAAACCCTCAGTACTGTGCATGCATTATCTCTATATAAATCACATGTACTCCATATACATCAACTTCATTCTGAATATATATATATATATATATATATATATATATATATATATATATATATATATATATATATATATATATATATATATATATATATATATCGTGCCGAATAGGCAGAACTTGCGATCTTGGCTTAAATAGCAACGCTCATCTTGCCATATAGGACAAGTGAAAATTTGTGTATGCAATAATTTCGCCAAAATCATTCTGAACCTAACGAGAAAAATATATTTAACTGTGTTTGTTTAGTATTAAATTATTGTAAACAAATCTAAAATATATTTAGTTAGGTTAGGCTAAAATAAATTGTTGTTATTATAATAAGGTTAGGTAAGTTTTCTAAGATTCTTTTGGTGCAAAATTAAAAAATTTTACATTAACATTAATGAAAAAAATATATCTTTAAACGTATAAGAGAAAATTTTAGAAAGGACTTAATTTTAAATGAGTTCTTGCTAACTGACCAGTTTTACATATTCGGCACGACATATATATATATATATATATATATATATATATATATATATATATATATATATATATATATATATATATATATATATATAAATATATATATATATATATAAATATATATATATATATATATATATATATATATATATATATATATATATATATATATATATATATATATATATATATATATATATATATATGTGTGTGTGTGTGTGTTTGTGTGTGTTTGTGTGTGTTTGTGTGTGTGTGTGTGTATGTGTGTGTGTGTGTGTTTACTCACCTATTTGTGGTTGCAGGGGTCGAGTCATAACTCCTGGCCCCACCTCTTCACAGATCGCTCCATGAGCTTTATCAAACCTCGTCTTAAAGTTATGTATGGTTCCTGCCTCCACTATGTCACTTGCCAAACTATTCCACTTCCTTACAACCCTATGACTAAAGAAATACTACCTAACATCTCTTTGACTCATCTGAGTCTTCAACTTCAACTTGTTTCTGTGTCTCATCTCTGGAACATCCTGTCTCTGTCCACCTTGTCAATTCGTCGCAGTATTTTGTATGTTGTTATTATGTCTCCCCTAACCCTCCTGTCCTCCAGTGTCATCAGGCCGATTTCCCTTAACTTTTCTTCGTAGGACATTCCCCCTAGCTCTGGAAATAGTCTTGTTGCAAACTTTTGCACTTTCTTTAATTTCTTGACGTGCTTGACCAAGTGTGGGTTCCAAACCGGTGCTGCGTATTCCAGTATGGACCTGACGTACACGGTATACGTCAGGAACGCTATTCTCAGGTTTGCCAGGCGTCCATACGCTGCAGCAGTTATCTGGTCGATATGCGCCTCAGGAGATGTGCTTGGTATTATACTCACCCCAAGATCCTTTTCCTTGAGTGAGGTTTACAGTCTTGGGCCACCTAGTCTATACTTTGTCTGCTGTCTCCTTCGCCCTTCCTCGGTCTTCATGGCTACATTTGACGGGGTTAAATTCGAGGAGCCAGTTGCTAGACCAGACTTCCAGCCTGTCCAGGTCTCTTTGAAGTCCTGCCTGATCCTCATCCGATTTAATGCTTCTCATTATCTTCTCATCATCTGCGAACAGGGACACTTCTGAGTCTATCCCTTCCGCCGTCATGTCATTCATATATACAAAAATAGCTCTGGTCCTAGGACTGATCTCTGTGGAGCCCCGCTCGTCACAGGCGCCCACTCTGACACCTCGTCACGTACCATGACTCGTTGTTGCCTCCCTGTCAAGTATTCTCTGATCCATTGCAGTGCCCTTTCTGTTATGTGAGCCTGATCCTCTAGCTTTTGCACTAATCTCTTGTGAGGAACTGTGATTCTTTCTTGCCACTCCTCACACTTATTTATTATTCCGTCTGCGTTGGTGTAACATACCTTCAGCTTCTTTTCCAGTACTGTTGTCTGGGGCTGGAGAAGTGGGAGACCTGGCAGAAAACTATGGAAGGCTGCTTTGAAGGTGGAGTTTGTGATGGTAGGAGGCTGTGAGTGCGGAATGTGGGATGTTTTGGGTTAATTTGTTTGGTTGTGGTGGGGTTGTTGAGGTTGAGGGTTTTCCGTGGGTGGTTCTGAGGAAGGCTGAATTTAATCAGAGTGAAAATAGTTGTAAATGGTATTGCGATACCGACGAACTTTGGAAGGGAATATTTATGTACAATTCTGGCCATTTATTAAGGATAAATGACCTGAACAGTAAACAAATATCCTATTCCATAGTAATATTAACACCAAGTGCCATATTAATAAATACTATAATACATACAGCGCAAGGAGTGTTGGAGGCTCGATCCTTCGTCCACAAATCGCGTGACGGTATTCCTGAAGCCAGACTTTAGTACTCTCATAGACACAAAATAACAGATGGATTTGTTGTTCTTCTTGAGCAAAAAAAATAAAATTATAAACATTTCAAGAACATTAAATGGCATCTGTTTCCTGTCTAATATGTCTTATGCCTGTACAATACGTCTTAGGCCTCTCTAATATATTTTAGGCCTCTCTAACATGACTTTTGGCTATCTAATAAGTCTTATACCTGTCTGTTATTTTTATGGAAATGTTATTCATTATAACTCTTAGTTATTCATTGTAACTGTTGGTTATTCATTATAACTATTAGTTGTTCTTGTGTTATTCAGTTTTTCTTGTATGCCAGTTACTCTGGTAGAACTGTCAGTTCGGGTATAATTGTCAATTGTTCGGGTATAACTGTCAGTTCTGGTATAACTGTCAGCTCTGGTATAACTGTCAGTTCTAATATAACTCAGTTCTGGTATAATTACCAGTTCAGCTATAACTGTCAGTTATTCTGGTATAATTGTTAGTTGTTTTGGTATAACCGTCAATTGTTCTTCTATAACTCTCAGTTATTTGTGTACAACTGTGAAGTATTCGTTTATAAATTATTCTTGTATAACTGTCAGTTATTCTTGTATAACTGTCAGTTATTCTTGTATAACTGTCAGTTATTCTTGTATAACTGTCAGTTATTCTTGTATAACTGTCAGTTATTCTTGTATAACTGTCAGTTATTCTTGTATAACTGTCAGTTATTCTTGTATAACTGTCAGTTATCCTTGTATAAGATAGTTATCATTGTATAACTGTTACTTTTGTTTAATGATGAGGAAATACTGTGTAATTGTTAGTTAATAATGTATAGTTTTCAGTTAGTATTGTGTAATTGTTAATTAATATTGTATAATAATCAGTATTGTGTAATTTTCATTTATTCTTGAATAATTTTCATTTATTCTTGAATAATTTTCATTTATTCTTGGATAAATTTCACTTATTCTTGTATAATTTTTTATTTATTCTTGTATAATTTTTTATTTACTCTTGAATAATTTTCATTTATTCTTGTATAATTTTCATTTATTCTTGTATAATTTTCATTTATTCTTGTATAATTTTTCATTTACTCTTGAATAATTTTCATTTATTCTTGTAGAATTTTCATTTATTCTTGTATAATTTTCATTTATTCTTGTAGAATTTTCATTTATTCTTGTAGAATTTTCATTTATTCTTGTAGAATTTTCATTTATTCTTGTAGAATTTTCATTTATTCTTGTAGAATTTTCATTTATTCTTGTAGAATTTTCATTTATTCTTGTATAATTTTCATTTATTCTTGTAGAATTTTCATTTATTCTTGTAGAATTTTCATTTATTCTTGTATAATTTTCATTTATTCTTGTAGAATTTTCATTTATTCTTGTATAATTTTCATTTATTCTTGTAGAATTTTCATTTATTCTTGTAGAATTTTCATTTATTCTTGTATAATTTTCATTTATTCTTGTAGAATTTTCATTTATTCTTGAATAATTTTAATTTATTCTTGTAGAATTTTCATTTATTCTTGTAGAATTTTCATTTACTCTTGAATAATTTTCATTTATTCTTGTATAATTTTCATTTATTCTTGTATAATTTTCATTTATTCTTGTAGAATTTTCATTTATTCTTGTATAATTTTCATTTATTCTTGTAGAATTTTCATTTATTCTTGTAGAATTTTCATTTATTCTTGTATAATTTTCATTTATTCTTGTAGAATTTCATTTATTCTTGTATAATTTTCATTTATTCTTGTAGAATTTTCATTTATTCTTGTAGAATTTTCATTTATTCTTGTATAATTTTCATTTATTCTTGTAGAATTTTCATTTATTCTTGAATAATTTTAATTTATTCTTGTAGAATTTTCATTTATTCTTGTAGAATTTTCATTTACTCTTGAATAATTTTCATTTATTCTTGTATAATTTTCATTTATTCTTGTATAATTTTCATTTATTCTTGTATAATTTTCATTTATTCTTGTAGAATTTTCATTTACTCTTTGATAATGTCACTTTCTCTTACATCAGTTTTGTTTATTTTTTTTTTTTTACAAAACTGCCAGTTAGACTTTTAACCAAATAAAACTTTTTCAATGATAATGTTTTTTTCAACATCACTGCAGGTTTGTAATAGTAACTTTTTTGCTTTTTTGTGTATTTAGTCCTAAGTGACCAAATATTTGCATAAAATCTTGATAGAAAAACATTGACATTTTTCCTTCATTTTTTAATTCTTTTGTAATAAGGTTTATTATAAAGAAATATGAGCATAATGTCCGTTTCATTTGGTTGTATAAAAAAGGGTTGGACAAAATAATAGGAACACCTTGTTCTATAACTTTTTTATTTTGAATGTGGAATTGTTTCTCCATCCGCAGCTAAAACAGCACCAATTCGTCGAGGAATTGATTCATTTAGTATTTAACTCTTTGAAAGAGTTAGAGCAAATCCTGCTCTAACTTCTTTAAAGACAACGGTGCAGGAAATCGGTTCCTGATTTGCTGTTCCAATTGACCCCACAGATGCTCGATAATATTTAGATCCGGCGATTGTGACTGCCAGTACAAGTGCTCGACTCCACTTTCATGTTCTTCAAGATAATTTTGAACAACTCTAGAGATGTGCATTGGTGCATTGTCTTCTTGGAAATTTGCACAAAAAGGGACCCGTAACAAATTTAAATTGATTATTCAGTCATTCAACAGTTCAGTCAGCAGGTGTTGATGTTATTTTGTCCAGCGTCATTTGCTTAGCAGTTAGGTTTAGTCCCGACACTTTTCCTTATTCTAAAATACATATCCTCTCCCCCTCTTCCTTAGTGAGTCCTCTGTTCTATTGCTTTGATAAAAGAGAAACACGTGCAGCATCTCAGTAGCTTTATTGAGAGAGGTTTCTTGTGGGCAGTAATCTTTATCAGTCTAATAAAAAAAACAGTACGGCGACTTAAATAGAGTCAGGCGAGACTTAGATAATAACTTGTTCCTCTGTATAAGATTTACAAAGGCTGCTGCTCAGGCGAAGTGTCTCTTAGCAAAGATACTCAGGTGTTGTATTTGTGACTTATTCATCAAATGTACTGTATTATATTCTTCATGTAGTAGACAGGCATAACACCATATTAATCAACCTACC